GCCTACAGTTACTCTGTCAAGGTATAACCATAGTCTATGAAACTCCTAGTATGGCCTTGCCTACAGTTACTGTGTCAAGGTATAACCATAGTCTATGAAACTCCTAGTATGGACTTGCCTACAGTTACTCTGTCAAGGTATAACCATAGTCTAGGAAACTCCTAGTATGGACCATGGCTCTTGCCTTTACTCTGTCAAGGTATAACCATAGTCTATGAAACTCCTAGTATGGCCTTGCCTACAGTTACTCTGTCAAGGTATAACCATAGTCTAGGAAACTCCTAGTATGGACTTGCCTACAGTTACTCTGTCAAGGTATAACCATAGTCTATGAAACTCCTAGTATGGCCTTGCCTACAGTTACTGTGTCAAGGTATAACCATAGTCTATGAAACTCATAGTATTGACTTGCCTACAGTTACTCTGTCAAGGTATAAACATAGTCTATGAAACTCCTAGTATGGCCTTGCCTACAGTTACTGTGTCAAGGTATAACCATAGTCTATGAAACTCCTAGTATTGACTTGCCTACAGTTACTCTGTCAAGGTATAACCATAGTCTAGGAAACACCTTTCCTAGCTTTTCTTCAACTTCTTTCAAGTAGTCCTTACTTAGGTTTTCAGAGAATTCACCTAGAAGCATTTCCAAATCAAATTTTAGATACAATTCTAGTTATAAAGAACATGAAGCATGATGGTAACTGTGTCTAAAAACTCACATTCAAACTTGGTACATTCAGAAAATACTCATTTATTAGTAATACTTAACTTTTTACTATAAGTGTTTTCTCAGTTATCTGTTACAGTCTAGGCTTCTGTGATAGTTATGAGTGCACTTCCTCTATCACATGCCCTGGTACCCATGGGTCTCTCATAAGCTGTAGGCCGGCATTTATCCTTTCTACTGCTGGGACAGTGACAACTCAACTTACTAAATCCCAGATGTTACAGACTGCAAGATGCAGTCATTATTAATCGTCCACAGTCAAATAGAGGACCCATTTCTTATTTATCAAACAAGCTGTATGACCGAGTGCAAATCAAAGGCTGAGTTAGAGAATGAAGTTAAGTCGGAGTGTCTAAAATACAGTAATCATGATTATGACCAAAAGCCAGTAAAATGCAGCAAGTGATTAAACTACAGAGCAATACAGTTCGGAAGTTGAAGCAAAACAGACATGGCATTGTTTCCCTTGCATCATCAAACCATGACTAGTCCTCGCCATCTTCTGGGCACCGTTCCTCAAAGATGTCGTAACACTATTGTAACTCAGTTAAACAGACAATCAGTACTAAGATCTGTTCGTGGAACGGAGCCCTGCATAGCTCGGAGGTGCCATTTTTGCTGAGAAGAGACAAATTACTAAGCCACTCTTTTGTATTGTGTTGGAAAAACACCTGAAACCCTTCTGTGAGAATTGTTAATACTTCACAGGAGTGTACACAGCCCATGTGAACATATTCAAGTAGTCAGAAATCTATACCAACGATAATCCATGTCCTGGTGATAACAAGCAAGAAGTCAGGCCACCATGAGATTAGACAATATCACACAAACATCAGTGTTACTTACATCACTTGCAATAGACTTATTATCATCTTCCCTCACACTTAAAATTCAACTTCAGGGAAGGGTAGGGTTGATGTGTTCTATACTGCCTCGTTCCACGACCTTATATAGACATCCCTGACAACTACACGGCTTATGTATCCATGGAGGAACAAAGTGTACACCAACCTGTGAAGTATTGACGATGACTGAGGTAACAGATTCTGTTGACATTGTGTCCATGGCAACCACTTTGTTAACATAATGTTATCCTAACAGCATATATCAATACACTTGCAAATACATGTTGTAGTAGTTTGTTGTATTTCAGGGTAAAGATTCTTGTGACCTCTGATGCATGTTGTCCATTGCGACGAATTAACAATGTACAAACAAACTAACTGAACACACTTTGTAATACTTGACACAAGAAATGACTTTTGCTGGTTGTGATAAACAAATGGCTAACTTCATATCATTTTATGAGTAAGCTATGAACAATATGTCAGAAATTGTCAGTTCATCAACAGCACCAGTAAGCTTGATACACGTCTCTAATGTTCACCACCTTTGGGAAACCAGACAAACATTGGTAAACTGCTGACAAACCTAGAATCAGTCACTGTGAACCTGGACACGACGTCACCATCATAATTTTCTGTCCTGTCTACGATGAATTACAGTCCTTAGATGGCTGAACTACCTTGCTGGCCCCTCTAATGTATTGAATCATAACATGAACACTTCCTCTGGTAGCACACTGACCTGAATCCCTGCCCCTGTACAGTTGATCCTTCCTCTGTGTACCCACTGATTTGAATCCCTGCCCTTGTACAGTTGATCCTTCCTCTGTGTACCCACTGATCTGAATCCCTGCCCCTGTACAGTTCATCCTTCCCATGGGTACCCACTGACCTGAATCCCTGCCCCTGTACAGTTCATCCTTCCTCTGGGTACCCACTGACCTGAATCCCTGCCCCTGTACAGTTCATCCTTCCCATGGGTACCCACTGACCTGAATCCCTGCCCCTGTACAGTTCATCCTTCCTCTGGGTACCCACTGATCTGAATCCCTGCCCCTGTACAGTTCATCCTTCCTCTGGGTACCCACTGATCTGAATCCCTGCCCCTGTACAGTTCATCCTTCCCATGGGTACCCACTGACCTGAATCCCTGCCCCTGTACAGTTCATCCTTCCTCTGTGTACCCACTGACCTGAATCCCTGCCCCTGTACAGTTGATCCTTCCTCTGGGTACACACTGACCTGAATCCCTGCCCCTGTACAGTTGATACTTCCCATGGGTACACACTGACCTGAATCCCTGCCCCTGTACAGTTCATCCTTCTCATGGGTACCCACTGACCTGAATCCCTGCCCCTGTACAGTTGATCCTTCCCATGGGTACACACTGACCTGAATCCCTGCCCCTGTACAGTTCATCTTTGTGTTATTCAGGTGGGGGCTAACTGTGTGACTTACCAAATGACCATGATCAATTTTACACACTTCATGGCAAAACACCCTATTTAGTTCCCAAATAAAGAAAAAAAACATAAATCTACCTTCAAAAATTGATCATATCACATATTCTTCTTGTGCTTGTATAACCATCTAAAAGTCATGTAGCAAACTGATAAAAGCTAGTGATAACACTGCTCAACACAGCCAACATCTTATCACTCAGTAGTTGAACCAGGACACGACTCACCATGATAATCAAGGCTCGAAAGTTTACATGAACAGGGGAGATAACTCACATCTGTACTGCTCCAAGCTATCCTGCAGACAAGCCCTAGAGGAGGCAAGGGCAGTTTGGAAAGTGGAGTTTTTAATGAAGCATTATTTCGCATTGGTGCATGGGTGCTGTCACAATGGCATGACACGACATAATGATCAGTTTGTTCAAATCAACAGCCTATTCTGTTTGCTGTGTACTGAAAATCAATTCTAACCTGTTCAGATAATGTAAGTATGGTTTGCGGCACTTTCAACAATACTCCTGGCAAAGGACATACAGTGAAAGAAGACACTTGCAATATTCTCGACTAACAGTGGACACATAAAATGGCCTGAATCTTTCCCATTTCCATTTGTTCCAGGGGAATACAATATGTATATACATGTACAGACGTACAATAGGCTTATCTCCTCACCACAGATGACACCTCCTTGCCAAGCTTGCTAACAGTTACAACTCATGGTTAATAAATGCTTATTCAACAGATGTTGGCCCAGATCCTAATGAAAGGTGGGCAATGCATATCGTTATGAACAAGATCCAGCCAAATGTTGAGAAAGTATGATTGAACACAGTTTTCAGCAATATTCCAATTCAGTCTCGGAGGGGAACCAAGTTTATACCAATGGGGAATCAAACCCAGGATTTAGGCATGATGAGCAATACCACCCATTCCAGCTCAGTGCTGCTTTAGATTTGATACGTAAGCAGACCAGGTAAAGTTGTCACTGCAGTGTAAATACAAATACTGTTAACACCAGCTGAATCAGAATATTACTGCAGGGTTGGGGAGACCAGAGGTTAAAGCGCTGTCATGCCAACAGCCCAGATATGATTCCCCTCAAGGGGCTCAAAGAGAAGCCTACCCTCTCCTACCCTCATGCTGCTCGAACAATGTAAAAAGGTGTGCGAAATCACTCATTCACTACATTTGGAGATGAGTAGAGGACCACATGTAATAATGACTAATTATGAAGGATATAAATACTGCAATGGTATGTTGAAAACTATCACTTCTAATCTATCTACATCTAACTAAACCTGAATTCTACACCAGTGGTAGGGGATGGCATCTCAAAAGGAACTGATATTTTTAGCTGTTTTTGTTTGTTGGTTGTTTTAACGCCCCAGCAATATTCCAGCTATATGGCAGTGGTCTGTAAAGAACCTGTGATCAACAGCATGAGCAGTGATCTATGCAATTGATAATAAACTTATACAGGCTGTTATTTTTACAAATTTTATACAATGCAAGGAGAGAGAATTTTAAAAACAACAACAGGGGTTTATCTACTTGAAATGAAAAATTCATTAAAAAATCTATCTAACAACTAAAGTAACACAATTAATTACCTTTAGGTACCCTTACATGTGAAAGCTTGTATTTTCTATTCATTAAGAAAGGTATCAGTCAAATATGGTGGTACAGTACACCCAGGTATCAGTCTAATATGGTGGTACAGTACACCCAGGTATCAGTCTAATATGGTGGTACAGTACACCCATGTACCAGTCTAATATGGTGGTACAGTACACCCATGTATCAGTCTAATATGGTGGTACAGTACACCCAGGTATCAGTCTAATATGGTGGTACAGTACACCTAGGTATCAGTCTAAGATGGTGGTACAGTACACCCAGGTATCAGTCTAATATGGTGGTACAGTACAACCAGGTATCAGTCTAATATGGTGGTACAGTACACCCAGGTATCAGTCTTATATGGTGGTACAGTACACCAAGGTATCAGTCTAATATGGTGGTACAGTACACCCAGGTATCTGTCTAATATGGTGGTACAGTACATTTAGGTATCAGTCTAATATGGTGGTACAGTACACCCAGGTATCAGTCTAATATGGTGGTACAGTACACCAAGGTATCAGTCTAATATGGCGGTACAGTACACCCAGGTATCTGTCTAATATGGTGGTACAGTACATTTAGGTATCAGTCTAATATGGTGGTACAGTACACCCAGGTATCAGTCTAATATAGTGGTACAGTACACCCAGGTATCAGTCTAATATGGTGGTACAGTACACCCAGGTATCAGTCTAATATGGTATAGGTATCAGTCCAAACAATAACATTGTACAGGTTGGAATCATTCTAATATGGTGGAACAGTACACCTGGGAATCAGTTCTTAATGGTACAGTGCATCTTGATAAGTTCTTAAATGGTTTATGATTTCGTTATTGAATCATTCTAGAAAGAGAATGATTCTGTTGAATTCTCCCTAATATTTACCCAATATCACATGCTTCTTAATTTTGTTCACCATTGTCCTTTTTCATAAAGATAACATCAACTCTGTAATTCTCTTTGAAAAATACCTTGCACCCTCTGTGGAGAGACAAAGGCAGCAACGGACAAAAGTTAAGGCAAATAATAATTATAAATAAAACAAAACTGACCTGAGACAAGTACCCTGATCACTGTGACACACGTGTTGTAAGGGAACTAGTATCGAAAGCTTCATAACCTTTCTCATCTGCATCCCTCGTACAAAAGTGGAGAGTTTGAATAATGGGTTTATATGTTTCACAGAAAAGGTTCAAGTGTTTTGCTGTCTTAATGATGCTTAACTTCCTTGATTAAACTTTAAACTGACTGTAGAACTGAAATTTCTGGCCAGTACAGATATACTCCTCAAAACAAGTGAAGAACAGTCAATTCCTACGACTATAGTTGATATATCATAGCTGGTGTGTATTGTAACACACCCTTCCCACTGTGGATGTTCCTTAACTTGTTTTGAATAATATATATATCATCATCCCATCGCTGGCTTGTATACACAGTGTTGCACCATGCATAAATATGTAAAGCCAACAAGATGTAGTTGTAACCTATCCATTAATGGAAAACAAATAAAATTCAACCAAGAATTTGAAATGAATCTACTCTGAACTTAGTGAGAAGCTGCCATTGACAATATGCATGGATATACTGCAAAACTGTGGTACATGTTACACAAGAGTGTATGACCATTTATGGAAAGCAAATGAAATTTGACCAAGAATTTCAAATGAACCTACACTGAACCAAGTGAGAAGCTACCATTATCTGCCATTGACACAATGTATCTAAGAAGATACTGCAAAACTGTGACATATGCTGTACAAGTTTGTCAAGCAGGTAACACTGATGTTGTGATGTAAGCTGACAGTGTTTTTCATCACCTGCTTCTTCACTCTGGTTTAATGCAGCTGTCACTTAAGTGCTTATGGCAGGCAAACTGGGAAAATAAATCACATATTTCAGAATCGATTCTTTTTACTTTATATATTTTTATAGATTCTGATGTATAGAGAAATTTTTAATTCAGAGTCACTTGCTTTACAATAGAGGTCAAATATCAATCTCTGAATAGATTGGTAATTCTAATTTTAATTTTCTTATCTTTGTAGATTCTGAGGTATTTGGAAATGTTTTAATCCAAATCGGTAATTTTACTGTCACTTGAGGTCGAAAATCTCTCTAACCAGAACTAGATCAATCCCTGTCATTGGTAGAAAATGGACACTCCATTATACAGGTGATGGAAGAACACATACTAATGCCTTTCAGTAATGTCGTACCAAATACGTCCGGATCACTTGAGACAAAAGGGGAAAGGACCGTCATGATACAGCTCTTAACCAAACTAACGGTGCATTTGAAAGACATTGTTACCCTGCCTATATCCTGAGACACAAATGCACAGAATATCACTGTTCCAGGTAATACTTGATGACGATTCATAGTTAAATATGTAGAACTACAGGTACACATCGCCATCAGGTGCCATTGCATCAATCACAAAAACCTGGATGATATACAGCCACTAAATTACCCCAGAGACAAGGCATGAACTCATCTGTTATCCGTGAACTGATAACAAGTTGTTAACATCTCCTACTACAGAGTAACAAGTATTATGCTGTCTCAGTGTGGGTCTCAGTAAAACATCCCTGAAACATGCATCAATAAGAAATGCATATGTAATTAATGTAGGGCTTGATTTAAGGAAATGAAACCTACTTGCATCTAGTGCAACCTTAGGTAATAACCTACTTGCACCCAGTGCAACCCTAGGTAATAACCTACTTACACCCAGTGCAACATTGGTAATAACCTACTTGCATCCAGTGCAACCTTAGGTAATAACCTACTTGCATCCAGTGCAACCCTAGGTAATAACCTACTTACACCCAGTGCAACATTGGTAATAACCTACTTGTACCCAGTAACCTTAGGTAATAACCTACTTGCACCAAGTACAACCTTAGGTAATAACCTACTTGCACCAGTGCATCCCTAGGTAATAACCTACCTGCACCCAGTGTAACCCTAGGTAATAACCTACCTGCACCAAGTGCAACCTTAGGTAATAACCTAATTGCACCAAGTGCAACCTTAGGTAATAACCTACTTGCACCAGTGCATCCCTAGGTAATAACCTACCTGCACCCAGTGCATCCCTAGGTAATAACCTACCTGCACCCAGTGTAACCCTAGGTAATAACCTACCTGCACCAAGTGCAACCTTAGGTAATAACCTACTTGCACCAAGTGCAACCTTAGGTAATAACCTACTTGCACCAGTGCATCCCTAGGTAATAACCTACCTGCACCCAGTGCATCCCTAGGTAATAACCTACCTGCACCCAGTGTAACCCTAGGTAATAACCTACCTGCACCAAGTGCAACCTTAGGTAATAACCTACTTGCACCAAGTGCAACCTTAGGTAATAACCTACTTGCACCAGTGCATCCCTAGGTAATAACCTACCTGCACCCAGTGCATCCCTAGGTAATAACCTACTTGCACCCAGTGCAACCTTTGGTAATAACCTGGCTTTACCACACGTTGCAAAAAGGTTGCAGTTGATGCTCACTTTAAATTATATTCGATGCTTGGATTTTGGTACTGAAGATATTGAACATTGTAACAAAATTATTCTGAGTCTGATAAGATAATTTTATTTTATGGAACTTCATAAAATTTCATGAGTAAACAGTATGTCATTCAATCACTGTCTGTGTAGTTGTCAGACTCAATGCTCAAAGCCAGTTTCTCATTCTGTTTTCCAGCTGACATCTGTCGCGGTGGCTGAGCGGTGTTAGGTGGCTGACTCTGAGGATGTGGGTTTGAATCCCAGATGGGACTCGAGCAAAAGTACTAGAATTTGTACTTTACTAAGAAAGTGTAATCCCAAATATAAGATATGTTACAGCTGACATCTGTGTTCAAGCAAAATATTTACATGCATTGGGAGTAAGTTTGTATAAACATGAGGTTGCACCAGTACAGGTTCTAAATGCTTAAATCAAGCCCTGTTAATATAGAGCACAGAAATAATGAAGTTTCTGCTGAATACTTCAGAAAGTCAAAGAGACAGCGTGAGGGCCTTACAGATGAACATCCAAATATAACAAAACAATATGATTCTCTCATCCCACATTCATGTCTTCGTGCTGTCCCAGTTTCTAAATACTGAATATATCTTATCATATTATTATAACATTCATGTCAATTTCCACACCACCTTCACAGTGGCATTCAGGACCGGTTCATTACGGCAACAATTTGTTCTGATAGCAAAATCATATACATTGAAATTAAAAGCCAAACAATACCATGAGACTATAAGAAAAAGTTTAAAACATAAAATGTCAATTAGGATTAACAGTATATTATATAATGAAATATTGTAAAAACTTTAAAAACAATTTCTATGGTATAAAAAGATAAATCAGAATAGTCATGAAATATGTAACTGAAGTTCTGTGAGGAGTATTACAAGTCAGCTGGGGCTGTTTTCCCACTATAAGTACTACACGGGGAGATAGTATGTGCTGTAATTCATGTAAGCATGCCACCCTGACCACTGGTTGCCCTATATGTCAAATATCATGATCGGTCAAACGTAAAGAGTATACACAACAAAAGTACAACAAAACAAACTTGCTATTTCATCTAAAAATATAATGCATACAACAGAACAACTATTACAATTGTTGCAGGAATTATCCTTATAATACAATAACAAAATATACAAAAATGTAATGAAATCCTATCTTGTTGCTACCATAACTGATACAGGTTTTAAAAGTAACATGCTCAATTCAATTTCATTTGTGATACCAAAGTTTCATATTCCGAATTTTACTGAAACTTCATGAAAAAAATTATATTTACTCACATCAATATTATATTTATTTTATATTATACATTAATCTTTTTTTTCTAATTTGAGACTAAAACATACTGAAATTCAATTTCTCTTCATCAATTAAACCTGAATCTCATCCTGACATGAATAACAAAAAAAAACAACCCATCTTGAAACAGTAATAGCAGTGCTTGTACGTAAAGTAAGTGAGCACTAAAGCGAGGTATAGGTAACCATGACATCTCACTTCAAGTTATCAGGTGCCACACTGACTGCAATACTCATCTGTACCCCTGTAAACAGTAGCAGGGTGTATCTAGGACCCTGCACATTACATACATACATATATAATTACATAACTAGATATACAAGTATTTACATCACAAAGCCGAGCAAAATATACACTACACTGAGATTCCAACATTCCTGGGGTCTTAGATTATCCAGTTTACATAATTCCACTTGAAAATTGTCCTACAACAAATCACCACTGCATTTTCAATATGAACTGATTTGAATAATTGGTCACTTAAATAGCCATCCAATGAAACTGATTTCAAGAGCAAGAGAAATTCTGTGTTAAGTCATGGACAGGCAATGAAGATGGCAAAATTATTTTTTCTACGGTAGTGAATGGGTCAATGGTATTTATTACAGCAGCATGAAGATATAATACCCTTGATAATTGAAGATGGGACAACAGTTATAAGAGGTAACTTTTTTTGTCGAGTATATATGTGTACCTTGTCAATGTCCATCCATAACTGCATCATCATCCAGGATCCAGTGTCCTTTATACTTGTATCTCCCAGCTTAATGATACATGCCCTGGACCAAATCACCGCCATAGATTCAGCTGACGAATGGTGTCATCTTCTCATTTTCATAACAAATGCAGAAATACTCTTGCAGATGAATGAAAATTCATTTTTGAATCATATTCAAAATAAACACAAATCTGAGCTTGTGAATGGGGTTGTGGGTATATAACATAATGGAGACATTAACACTGTCATAGCCACATACATGAGTTTGTGAAGTGGGCCACGTAAATAAGGAAGTGTCTGTATGTGCAACAATTGTTTCAACATCGACCTTGCTGCTTAATCCATTAACCCCAATCTAACAGTTCAGTCCATGTTATATAAAATCATTACCCAGGTAAGTTTTTAAATATGGAATAAAATTAATCTTAAGAATCTGATGTCACAACCTCTTGCTAATTAACATGACACTGAGAAGAAGCTTAATTCAATGCAGTCATAACCTACTGTTGATGATGGTTAATATGCAAGTAACCCTGAAACAGGAGATGGTTGGAACCACAAGTCTATCAACACAGGGGCACCTGCCCGGGTCAAAACTGTCTCAATAGAAGACATTTAAAACAGTAAAATGGTAAGTACAAACATCTCTAAATATTCGTCTAACAAGTATGTATCTCACACTCTTTCTAATATTTACATTGCAGTACTTTTCTGTACATATGTAGAAAACTCAACATGATTTACCAGCTTTCTAAGGATATTAACTCATACCAACGGAATTATTAAGAACAATTAACATATTGTTACAGTATCAGTTAGTCAAGTGTTGCTCTGAGGTGGTGGGATTGTGAAGACTTTATGTATTAGTTTCCTGACAAATGACTCAAAAATGTGTTATATTTCCTGACTTTAAGTACATGTCATGGATTGCCATTCAAGACATTTTTAAGGAAAATGAAGGATATTATCTCAATGCCGAAATCAACTATATCGCATATTTCAGTCAAGATGAATTCAACATAAGAATTATTCACATAAGGATTTTTTAAATATGTAAACCTGAGTGACCATGGCAACCAAACTCTTGTACTGCTGTAATATATTTGATGTAGAACAGTACAAAAGTTGCAATAACGGCAAACTATGATGCATTTAACTGGCTACCACTCATTTTATATTCAACTCAAGAATTGGGACATGTTTGATTACAAATTGGACATTTTTACTGATGTTTGGAGTTGGGAATCTAAAAAGGCTGCTACAAATACCTGAGCCTTGTCAGTGAACGCTGTTGAACTAAACACACCAGTAAATACTTGACCATTATTTCTATTTGTATCTGATAATCAGAATATGTACATGTCTATGCATGAATATATCACGGTATCTGCCTCATAGGTTGTTGGACCCGTGGATCACCTCAGTACAACACTGACCTAGTCAGGTCGGAACACATCTTCTATATCCCCAGGTCCGTCATTTCTCTCAACATGATCTGCCCCTGGATTCATTCCCATGGCCATTGCTGCTGGCTTCCAACGTCACTCAGTTGTGATAAAAATCTTGTTTCTTGTAAAAGCAATTTTTAATTCAGAGCTGGTGAATGTGGCAGTTTAACTACTAAGTTAAGTAATCTTAACTTAATCATTTGTTATAAGGTTGTCACATCAAATGTAGACCTCTAGAAAAATATTCTGGATCAGAATCCACCATTTTCCCCATGTTATTCATCAATCAAAGCACCATCTGCATATGGCAAACATTTTCACAACATAAAAGTGGTAACAACCTTTGTGTAATTCAACAATTTGCCATTTATTCCAGGCAAAGAAAAAAGTACTAAAAAGCTGATGATCCAGTAATGCCTTTGACACTACAAAAACTAAAATGTCAAATTCGTTTTTTTCGTGTTGTATGCAATAAAAACAATATCAATGATGTTCTTTCAGTATTACCACATCACCTTTGTACAGGATGGACTGAAAACAAATTTGATCACAACACAATGTCTCACAGACTCTACAACTCTGAATTTGTTAATACATGTCTTAAGATGCCATTATTGTTCACCCACAATCCACCCTCAGGCCACAGGAGCTTTAAGTGACGTTTACTCAGTCAACACATCGTCTCTGTAATCAAACCCTCACTAATACTATATTGTATCTTGTTACTTCAATGCCTGCCACTACATTCTTCTATATACATATGCAGTAAGCATACAACAGCATTGATGTGAGGTGTATAACACAAGCACTATATTGGCAACACTGATATGTCAATACCCTGAACGACAAAATTAAAGCAGATTCTGTGCTTCCTGTAACTCACTATTACAGTCAACTGTAATTGTTTGAAATTTGAAAAACTAGCAAATCTCAATTTGGTATTTCACTCCTTAATTCTTGCTGTAAATAGTACCACGTAACCATGGTAACTGAGATTAGTTCTCTTTCACAGCCCATGTACTAACATTTATGAAATTCAATTTTCTTTAAAAAAGTGTACAACTGCTTTTAGTAACCACTGAATGTCTTCAGCCTATAGTTTTCTAACATTTCCATGTTAATATTTCTTACATAACATTTACATGATTTCTCTCTCTATAGATAACTACACATAACCACATTCCTAGGTATCATGAAATGTAAATAACTTGTATCTCTTAATGGTAAGTTAACAGGTCTTTGAGGTGATGTTTTGTGATCAACAAGTTACAAATATTACACTGTTAGCTGTTTGTCAATGAGCATCAGAAACTGACAAATAATATTTATATTTCACAATGAATTTCAGCTTGCAACACTTTTCATTAAGAACACTACTAAGCACTGTTTGTAAACAACAAAATCAAGGACCTTGTCGGCCATGCTGATATATCTAAGGGAGACAACTGAGTAGTGCAGTAGCTTGCAGCCCGCTACACCCTGTGTGAGCTGTCTGGGTTGTATGTGATGATAGTGTCCGGATGGTACGGCGGGCGCTGTACAGTTCGAATGCTTGGCACTGAAGCTGGCTGGTGAGACTGAAAGGACAAAGATGTTACAAGGTTAGGATAATCCTCAGTTATCCAGTCAATGTTATCCCCATCCCTTTTGTAGTTTCAGGGTGAGTAAAACTGAATGTTGCTTCAATGAGTCCTTGTCACACATGCAGACTGTGCTGCATCCTGCCTGAGATCTGACACCTCAAGGTCTGACTCTGTGATTGGGTCAAAATGTACCCTAATGGTTTTACAAACAACTCACTGTATCCAGCCTCGTTGATATATGAGCCTTCATGATATATACACATCACTAATCAAACACCGCCTGCTTATTTTCATATGATAACACAAGACACTATGCTAAATGTTTTGAAAATTTTATAATTTTGTGAATTGAAATGGTAACAGAAGGATACTTTTCTCTGATCTATATTTTTATGTAAGTACGAAAACACTACATGCTGTTGCATATGCTGTGAAACCCTGTGTATTAAAATGGTAACAGTACCATATTGTATTCTGAATGAAACAAAAACTGAAATTGAAATTCAGTAACAAGTTAGTTGAGGAATACATAAAAATATGAACATCAACAATGCCGGGATGTATGGTCAGTCTACGTAGTTATGCTACCAATGTTATTGTCGCACCTTTCTCCTACAATGATTATTGTGACTATATGACCACATCAGTACCTGGCGGAGCCACCCCTCACATGGATAACAATATTAACATCTGCCTGTATCCTCCATATACTAGCAATAAAGCCTTGAATTCTCAGCACTGGTATCCTCTGCCATACCCCATTGTGCTTGGTGCCTTCGCACACATGAACATGCAACCTATAGCTTCTGAGACATTGTGCGAAGCACATGCTATGTATGTGAACTGATGTATGCACGGCAGGGCTCCAGATAAGGTCCGTATCGGCGTATGTACAGATAGAAAATATGCACGATACGGTAGGAAATAATTTCGAAAACGTAGCAGATACGCACCACAGCAAAGGTGTACGGTGTTAGAATCATTTACAGACATATTTATTTGAACAATTATTGTTTTATTGTTTATTGACCTGTTTACACAATAGTAGCAATGTTGTGGTGCATATATGAAACGAAACACAATATTACTGAAACTCATTCCATTCAGTACTCTTAAGGTTTTCCAGTACTCCTGTATTGAAAAAATATGGAGTACGTACTTCTGATGTTGTAATATTATCTGGAGCCCTGGCTTGGGTATGATTGTGAGTTTAGAGCAAAATTGAACAAATTGGACTCAAGTGCTGATTAATTAATGCTCATATGTATAGCTCAGTATTGCTGAACAAACAACAATCACCTCACATTAGACAAACTCACCATGTCCACATCTGCACCTTCATCATAGGCCAAGTGACTCTCAGAGTGACCTCCCTCTACGTCAGAGTCCTCTTCCAGCAGATTCATCCTAGAGGGTGCTAGTTTCTCTCGTATACTTGTTGGTTAAGGAAAACTTATTTTATATTATTTGTGAACTTTACAAGACTTTGATTCAGCATATACAAATTTTCATGGACAGGACACCACCTATGCAATCAATACTATTTCACAAGCAGATCAAAGACTGAGGGCATTCTAATGTGTTTCGGGATCCAAGTATGTTTGCATATTCACATTGCAGCAATATTCCAGGCATATAATGGTGGCTCTAAGTAATTGAGTTTGGACCAGACAAACCAGTGATTGATGTTCTGAGTAAAATTCCACATCGTCTACATACAATGACTAAATCACTAGTTTGACTATCTGATCATTAAGTCACCTCTTAAAACTATCCTAGGTTGCTGGAGACCAATTCTAACCAAACATTCCTTTCTGGAAGCAAGTGAACTGGGTTCCACATCCCCTAGACCAGTATTTCAGTCATATCATTGGGTGGTAAGTGATGGGGGAAAAAAACTTGGAGTGATGCTGGTCTTTGACATTTACAACTTTGGGGAAATCCAGAATCAGTTTGGATCGGATTTAAAAAATCCACAATAATATCTTACTAGAATGAATAAGGGCCACAACCCAATAGCAAATTGCAGCACCATAAGTGAGGACACCACCCATACACACATTACAGCACCTGAGACAATACCCATACTTCCATATATAACAAAGCCACAAACTACATTGATTATCATGAAGAACACCTGCCAAGTATGTCAAAAAGATGGAAAAGTGTGTGCAACATGTTTTTTCAAAGGATACATTTGTTTTGAAGACTTCTTCTTCTTTCTTGAAAAAAATTTCCTTGCTAAGGAGGCGAACTGTTTCTTTGATGCTGCAAGAGACAAAGTAACAACATACAATGGCTGGTATAGAATGAGGAGCAGTAGGCCTACCAGGAATTACAGTTGCCAGTGTCAATGATTATCTTGCACATTACGATGCCTCCTTAGGCTAAACTTCCCCTTTCTGGATGCTTAATGAGGGATGTCTACATGTATCTAAAGGATAAGGGCAGCAGATCAACCAGAAACGGTAACCCAGAAACAATGCTTTCCAGTGGAGTCAAAGAGGATTTGCCTCAAAAAGAAATCCTCCTTACATAACTATGTCTATAAAACAAACAAAAATATTTCTCCACAAATACATCCATATTTTACTGTACATGTTAACACTGAACCACTCCAATCACACTAAATCTGCAGTTTGTGCCAAACATATTAAATCTACTATGTCCAACCTGTACACTGTCTTTCCAAATTCAAACAGGCATGTTATTCGTGTTATTAGCTAGGCTTACTTGGCAGAAATATGACTCTGCTCAACAGGCGTCAAGTGGCTCAAATTTGTGTGAAATGACCAAGGACATTATGTTCAAACACTGGTTAAATGGTAAAAGGGAGTATATCGTGACATCCGGTTGCTGCTTGTACTAGCTCGGACCACTTTCCAACTGAGATATGATTGTATAGTTTCACACGGATACCCCACTTGCACAAACTATACTGACACCATGCAGATCAGTAATTCTTTAATACCCTCATTCATTCATTCATTCATTCATTCATTCATTCTGACACCATGCAGATCAGTAATTCCTTAATACATGCATTCATTCATTCATTTATTCATGAATTTATTCATGAATTAATCAATTAATTACACCACTTTTAGCAATATTCCAGCAACATCAGGGCAGGGTACACCTAGGTCTTCGGCGTCACGAGCCAACACTTTAACCTCCAGGCTACCCCACCGCCCCTATTGCCTCAGTGCAAGTCATGGCAGGTTCACATACTCAAGCAGAGAGTTGGGTTCAGTTGTCCTCCATGAGTTCTAACGCTGCACTCAGCAATATTCCAGCTATATGGCAGTGGTCTGTAAATAGTCGAGTCTGGACCAGACTGTCCAGAGATCAACAGCATGATCATCGATCTATGCAATTGGAATACGATGACATGTGCCAACCAAGTCGCGTGCCTGACCACCTTATCATATTTGTCGCCTTTTACGACAAGCATGGGTTACTGAAGATCAGTTCTAACCCGGATCTTCGCGGGTCCTTATTGCCAAGAACCAGGCAGGGTAACAAGAATACCATCTATTGGTATGATTTTGGGGATCAAACTTTATGCTCATCTAGCACATCTATCACGGATGATGTTGACTAAGATTCCCAATGCAACTCCTTGCCACCCACCTTTCCCCATATGTTTGAGTTTCCGTCGGAGTTCTGCATCCTCGTCATCCCCCTTGGGCAGCTGCTGACTGAACGGAAACGCTTCCAGTGTGTCGTCTCTGTCATCACCATAGCCCTCCATCATGGCTGAAAGGGAGTGAGTGAGGGAATGAGTGAGTTTAGTCTTACGTCGCTTTTAGCAATATTCCAGCAAAATCACAGCAGGGGACACCAGATAATGGGAGTGAGCAACCGAGACAGCAATGATGCACATTTAATCTGAATTATAACATACATGGGCATCTGCTTTTAACTGAGTATAACACTGAGTATTTAACTGGAATACCACTGCCTTATCACTATTCTGGTATGCTTTCCAGAAATACATCAGGGCAAAATCAGGATTGAACCCATGATCATGTATATATATGTGTGTCCAAGGGACGTAACTCTGCACTATGGCCATCCATGACCTCTCTGGAACACTATCTGTGTATCCAGTAGGTTGGCCTGAATAGCGTCAATGCACCTGTAAGAGAGTCCGAGTATTTCAAAACAAGCTCACTTGTTTGTGTGCCCACTAGTCCCTCCTCGCAGTTTCCCTACCTTTGGTTAATGAACCAGATCAAGGGACAAAGATGGTGGACATGTAATTATCACTATCTGTGATGACAATGCACCCAGTTGCACTGGGTAAAGCTGTGTTGAAATCTGCACCCTCTCAAATGCTTTCCTATCTCCACATTCCATGAGTCTCTCAACACACAGCTGGAGTGCTCTGGCTTAGCAGAGCTTGCCGAATGTGCTGAAGGCTTCCTGCAAATGTACTGACAAGCTCAAAGAGTGTAATAAGGGCTCAGACTCAACAGTCAACAGGTGCTTGCAGCTTGCAAGAGGGTTTCATTCACTCACCACTGTGAATCAATAACCAACCTTTGGAAAACATCAACAGAAACTATGCCATGTGTATCATTCTTGACATGCTTAAGCCATGAGATGATCATTGATTTAGCACCCATTGCTACACTGGGCATACATATCAGACCCTAGAGAAATCCAAGTTTGGGAGCAGGTGACTAAGTATATATATTCCTGTGATGGTGTATAATTTTTTTTTTTCCATAGGACACTAAATTCTTCTTCTTACCATCCCTGTCAGGACTGACTGGTGTCACTGCTGGCTCGAACGCAACTGCATTCATGCGGTCTGAAATAGGGATCAAATCATGAACTGATGGAGGTTACTGGGGACGTCCCTATTCAGGATCTCTATTCTTTAGTGCATGGGCTTCATGGGATTATCATTAAGAACAATCCATCCATTTTCTTACACAAATGTTACAAAACCCAGTTCTGATGCCACTGGGGTATGACTCACACAATTGGAGTAATTACTTTCCTAACCTTAGGAATTTTTTATAACATGCTAACGATCTTATGTAGATTATCCATTTAAATTTACATTTTGACATTGCATTCAATGCAGTAGATATTAGCAATAAAACTTCTTCTTCTGTATGGTAAGTGAAATACAAATCACATAAAAATAACTATTACATTAAATTTAAATACAAGGCAATAAATTGGGAAAGATTTAATTCCAACCTGGGTATTAAGACTAAAATTAACTGCAGGTATGGAGGTGAATATCAGCCTCTCCGCAGGTCACCGCTGGTGCAAAAAGATGTAACTAAATGCAAATAAAATGCAAAAACACATGTTCTAATGCCATGATGCAGGCAACTGACCTCGCTCCAGGGTGTTCATGAAGTCCTCGTTGTCTCGAAGTTCCTGCAGGAACTCGCTGTTCTGGAACATCAGTGCTAGCCGCTCATCCTCCAAGTACTGAGCCAGCTCAGGGTCAAGGTCAGAGGAAGCCATACGGCGCCGACGCTCATTTTCCTTGATTCTCTCTTGTAACATATCAGAACTGAACTGATGGTTGTGATTGGACAGGATCTGAAACAGATTTACTGTAGAATGAGTCACTGATACACTAATTCTAAGATCTCATGAGTGTAAGTAATGCATCCAAAATACATCCACCAATACCAAACTTGTCTATGAACCAAAATGATAATCATGATTAAGTGAGAACATGGTATTCCTGGGAAAATGCATGTCAACAAAGGACAGTAAAAATGTAAGGTATGTCAACAAAGGACAGTAGAAGTGTAAGGTATGTCAACAAAGGACAGTAAAAGTGTAAAGTATGTCAACAAGGACAGTAAAAGTGTAAAGTATGTCTACAAAGGACAGTAAAAGTGTAAAGTATGTCAACAAAAGACAGTAAAAGTGTAAGGTATGTCAACAAAGGACAGTAAAAGTGTAAGGTATGTCAACAAAGGACAGTAAAAGTGTAAGGTATGTCAACAAAGGACAATAAAAGTGTAAGGTATGTCAACAAATGACAATAAAAGTGTAAGGTACGTCAACAAAGGAACAGTAAAAGTGTAAGGTATGTCAACAAAGGAAAGTAAAAGTGTAAGGTATGTCAACAAAGGACAATAAAAGTGTAAGGTATGTCAACAAAGGACAGTAAAAGTGTAAGGTATGTCAACAAAGGACAGTAAAAGTGTAAGGTATGTCAACAAAGGACAGTAAAAGTGTAAGGTATGTCAACAAAGGACAGTAAAAGTGTAAGGTATGTCAACAAAGGACAGTAAAAGTGTAAGTATGTCAACAAAGGACAGTAAAAGTGTAAGTATGTCAACAGTTGCAGAACAATACAAACTTGATCAAAATTAGAAACATGCATGCACGCATGCACAATTGATTTTCTACAATGGATTTTGGCCATGATCAGGGCACAATTGCTGATGCAGCCTTACTGTGAAATAATCGCTCACTACCAACATGGAATGAACCATATCAACATGATTAACAGCTTCAATGATCATAATGTTAATATTCATTATAATCAACTACTTTTTTCAACAAGCAAAAACACTGGATATTCTGGTCCAGGCTTGAACAATTACAAACTGCCATCATACAGCTGGAACATTGCTGAGTGCAGTGTTAAACAACAAACAAACAAAATCTGTCCCTGTACATACCCTTGGCTGTGACACTGTCCTCCTGTGGTGTGGTTTCTCTGATGTCGTCACTGATGACGGAGATCTCTGGGGAGACACAGTTGGAGACAGTCGCAAGAAGTCATCCGGCAGTCGACCCAGCATTGGCGGGTTCCAGTTCCGATAGGATGCCTTCTTTGTAGCACTACTCATACTGAAACTCCGGCCATGTAGCTTCCGAGATGTGTGATCAGCAGGGCCATGGAGACTCCAAGAGCGACTAGCCATGGCCGCTGATGGACCTTTCCAAGATGATTTCTCTGTGGAACCAGAGTGATTCCAAGAGGATCTACTTGAGTCTGTTGGACCATGCCATGAAGGACTCGCCGACGCAACAGGACTGCTCCACGATGATATTGGAGTCTTTGGTTCAGTATTGGACAAGGCCAGTTCATCAATACCTAAATCCAGTAAGTCTGCTATGGGCGGGTTCGGTGGACTAGACTTCACTGTTTTTCGTACACTGGGGGATATCAGCATCTGTGGCGACTGTACAGCTTCTGAGTATGGTGGTGGGGATTCCCCTATCGGCTCTGGCAGTGGAGCCTTCTCTGACAATGACCTTTTTGGTGGAAGGCAATCTTGTTCGAGAGGGAATGGCTGCAATACAAGATGGGTGAAAACATGACAGATTGACTGTCAGCATATGCAAGAAGCGACTAACGGGATCGGGTGGTCAGGCTTGCTGACTTGGTTGACACATGTCATCGCCATTGCGTAGATCAATGCTCCTGCTGGAGCTACTAACGGGATTGGGTGGTCAGGCTTGCTGACTTGGTTGACACAAGTCATTGCAGGGGTGGAAATAACTTTAAAATTGATAGTGTACTCCGGCACAATGGCACATGTAAAGTCACTTGCCCTGATAATTTTTCCACTATACCGACCGTTTTCTTACTGATTTTTTAAATAAACAACATAATTAACATTGGAAAGTCAACTGGACACTGGTACAGTGTGATATACAAATTTGCTTGCCTGACAGAAAAAAACAGTGGACACAGACGTCGGGCAATGGGTTATTTCCACCCCTGCATTGCCATTGCGTAGGTCAATGCTGTTGCTGGAGAATCACTGGATCGTCTGGTACTCAATTATTTAGAGACTGTAAATATAGCTGGAATCAGTGTGCGAAATAGTTACCAAGTTTGCCCGCCAGCCAGGCTAGCTATGCCTGAAAGTTACTAGCCCACAAAATAATTCACTAGCCCGAAATGTGAATGTAGACAAAGTTTTCATCATTAGGCTGCTAATATGATGAACATATTTTATCAGGCCATAATCTTGCATGATTTAAAAGAGTATTATAACTTAACAAGTTGGAGAGAGTGATATATTTACAAAATGACCCCAGAAAATTCACTTGCCAGTTGGGCCAGTGACTGTGGAGATTTGCCTAATTACTAGCCCGACTGGAGTTTTACTAGCCACGGGCTAGCGGGCCAGTGGCTATTTCGCACACTGGCTGGAATATTGATGAGTGTGGCGTAAAACTAAACTCACTCACACATGTAGTCCCATACATGAGTCAGTCAGATGTCAGCAGAATTTTGAGTAGTATTTATTTAGATTCTATCTAGTTGAACAGATTAGGCAGAAGAAAATTTTACTTGTCCTGGACTTTGGACTAGTGGTTTAAGCTGCAGACTGAATGTGTCACTTTGATTTATATTTACCAGTCCGGCTGCTAGTGCCGCCTCATCCTCCCACTGTAAGTCTTCAGGGAAAACCTCGTTGTCGACATTCATTGTAAGAAGCTGATCGATTGTGGCATCCACGATTCCGTTGTTGGCTCGGAGAACAGCCTCAATGACTTCCTCATCCATGTTGGGAAACATCCTCTTAAAGTCAGTCATTGCCTGGTGAAACTCCAGCTGCTTTGTTGGTCTCGAGTTCACCGTACCCGGCGTGAAATCATTTTCGTATCTAGGGCCTTGGCGGCCCCGTCGGTGGTTGTTCATTCGTTCCATTTCAGCCATCACTTACAGAGGTGATGTCACCTTGGATATTTTGTACAGAATGGCATCTTCATGGGAGTCGCTATTTACAATCAGATCACAGGTGCAGACTTTTGTAGAGGTATTCAGGATCTGGTCATGATTGTCCCTCTTCTTCACAACATCTGCAGACTCTCCTACCTGGGAAAAAAGACATAATCTCAGTTATCAGATAAATGATCAGTAGTACATCGCCTCATACCTCACCACTCCCTCTTTTTAAAAATTACTGAAAAAGGGACAAGTGCCCAAATTAGCATCGGAATCAGCTATAGTTCACAGAATAAACACATGCTACACCATGGCTAACTGTAATCCTTATTAGTATACGAGTCTGCTACCAAATTGCCCCTTTTCCATATTTGATTAGTGTTGGTACACCTACAGAATACCGGATACCTACCAGCCATATTGATTATTGTTTAGTGTCACCTTAACCCTAAACCTTACCCTAAGTAAATTTGCATGCTTTCAAAGATGGCGGATGGTATCCGGTATTTTGAAGTCTTGCCTTCGTGTTTACTAGGTAAATTCTACTCAGTTTACAGTATGAATGTAGTTCATTTGGACAGCTTGTCAGGATTACAATCCAAAGGTTGTAACTTTGAATCTGATGGATTACAACAAGAGCCGGTTAGTTATCAGAGCTCCAGATAAGATTTAGCTCATGTGGGTACTGTACCCACTGTATTTTTGGAGTGGGTATTATGAATGTTGAGTGGGTATTTCATTTTCCGTTACCCACTGCTTTCAAATATGTTCGTATTTCAGTCATTTTACTCACCTAAGTATTATGTCATTTAATAAGTTTACTAAGCAGGTATGTTCTGCCTTATGTCATACCTAATCAAAACCAACTTAAATATAATGGAAATGATTTCATAAAAAATCACTCATCCTATACTGACAGTACAACACTTGTCCTATACTAACAGTACAACTTGATAGCAATCGATGTCTTTTTCATTACGCAAGCGATTTTTATAAATATATTCCTTACGCATTTATTTTAAACTTTTTGCGTATCTAACATTTTAAATGCGTGATTGGTACGCAACAATTATTTTTCAATGCGTAATTGGAAATTTTCTATGTGTATTTTACCCCGATACGCAGCTTATCTGGGCCTCTGAGTTATCATAGTGACACCAGAATGAGAGGTTCTATCATGTCTAATATTGTCTATAGATAACCTAAGCCTCGTGTAAACATGAATCAGCTATAGTTCACAGAAAGTCGCATATAAGATGGTCCTGAGCACACGCAGTGCATTTTTGCAACATATTTGATAGGGACCATTTCAGCTCATATTCAAAACAGCATCATCAGCCTATAGGTTGGTTTAAGAGTAGATATAGTCATGATTGTTTGGGCTAATTATGATGAGAATGACAATCTGATTCTGCTAGCGAAAGTGAAAGTCAACAAAGGACAAGAATGCAGAAAATGCCTGCATAAACGAGAATTCTGTGAGTGATACTGGTTCTGGTAATGGTGGAGAATAGTGGCCGAGCGTTCCACCACTGAATCTTTATGCTCATAGATGTGATGTTTACCAAACAGCCACCTGCTCGGAGATTCAGATGACAGCCAAGCCGGGCTTGTTATGACACTTTCATTTTCGCATATTACGGAGTATTTTTACATTACGGGTTCATATATTGGTGCCAGTAACATAAACAATACATAACTACAACGTATAACACATACGATACCTAATTCAGATCCACATCAACATCAGAGATCGTCTTTTCCCCTGATGTTACAAAGTACAGAACTTCCTTTCGGAAGTCTTTAATCACATAAAGTATGTAACAAATATTGAAACGAAAAATGATTCGATAACTTACTTTTCAGCCGTACACGGTGTGTACACTTTGTGTAAAAAGATAAATAGGGTAAACAAAAATTGTTTCATATTTTCAAATTATGATCCAAAAATGCATCTATTTTATGATCACTTCAGGCAGCCACAATAACTCTACCTTCGATGGAAAGTATATGTTTTTAGATAACCCAGTGTCACAGAGAGGTCAAGGGTAGATAACTCCAATTCGCAGGCCAGGCATGCTCCCCATATGAAATGATAAGTTTGGTGGTCAAGGCATAGACAAACTCGATGTGGGTATATCACAGTTTGATTTGATTTAAATCATGGCAGGCAGTCGAATTGAGAGATTTGGAACGATATATTCAAGGTATGTTGAAAGAGAGGTATATATTGTTTTGTTTGTAGACCTTTGATTTCGAATGGCACACGTTCACTGTTCAGAAAGTTTCGGAGAAAATATGAATGATACCGCAATAAATCAATCTAGGGTATAATGTCACAATTCCAGCGGCTGATGGATGTCTACAACTTTCTCATATTTATCATGTCTGTCAATTGTAGGCATGTGTTCTTTAAAGGGTGATTACAATGATGATTCTTCACATGCGTAATATTATGTAATATTGAATGATTAATGAATACATCATATGCTCATACCATTACAAGTACACATACAAATATAGGTTTCTTACAAATGTGTTTTACCCAATTATGATATATCATCATGTAATGAAGTACATGATACCAGACAAGAATACAATATATTCAACAATAAGCAAATACATCACTTATGCATAAATAATGAAATAGATTATAACCTGGCACTTCTGTGGGTGACATCGAGTGTTGTTACGGGCGGTCAACCCTCCGATACTACAGGATTGTGATACCTGAGCTAAGCAAATATAACACATGAAAACATATACATATGTCACGTGACTGAGAATAGTTCAGACAACAATTAACATGTACAATACACATATCTACAAGGAAAGGTTTACTTCATTGTGATTTATATAAATATGCATAATCCAATCACACTTACAATACAAAGTTATATATAAAATCATCACTCATACACACATTCTTGCATAAGACTATTCATACATTTGTTAATTACGCTATCAAATACTTTACTGAGAATGCTTACTTATGATACTTATTTATGTTATTTATTCATTAATAAAGCATATAGCAATAATGTACTATAATTACTAACCTTGGAAGTAGATTATTGATTATCTTGAATTGCTGTGCACATCAAGTACTGGTGACAAGTGCTGAGCACATCAGGTGTGGGTGACAAGTGCGGTGTGTGAAAATGGCTGATGACCTATCATTTGAAATAAGCCAATCCCAATCAACCAGGTGATCATTACAAATCACATACCTGACAGAAAGATAGAATAACCTAATTACCCTATGACCTTGTAATGGAATGATCCAAAGCAATCAGAGACCTGCATTAAGCACTTAAAACACTATTTGCCGACAACTGCTCATTGCGAACACAATGAACCTCTGTTGAACCCAAAACAACACAGATGTATATACATTTTGATAAAAATAACGCAACACATGAAGTTAATATAAATGCTTTTATTTCACCCTATTACATTACTTGTGTTCAGATCGCTTCACGGAAGTTAAAGAATCAAAACTACTTACTAGTTGTAGTAAAATATGTATATGATAAGATGACCATAAAGAATTTCTATGACACAACTTGTAACATAACGATTTCTTCCTCGGAAGTGTGGTTGTAGTCGAAGTAACAATAATATTGTTATTTAGTATTATACTGACACCCACCCAGAAATTGTTATGTTATACGCTATGTCATGCAAAATCCTATTTGCCATCAATAAAAAATATATTTTACTACCAGTAGAAAGTAGTTTTGATTTTGTAACTCGGTGAAAACAAACCTTAGCATTTATCCTCAGACTGGCGGATGTTCCCGAAAGGGCGCCGCCATTTTTAAAAATAAAAAAATCTGTTAGAATTAATGAGATTATAGTTTGTTTTCATCAAGTTAGAAAATCAAGACTACTTTCTACTCGTAGTTAAATATGTATTGGAATCATAACCAAACGGATTTTGCATGACACAACTTATAACATAACGATTTCTTCCACGGAAGCGAGGTGGGGGTCGATTCACAATACTGCGCGATAAATTTCTTGCTACATTCCCATGGTTACTGTCCACTCACCAATATGTAGATATCAGTCAATGTGCGTCTTTATATTTGGTCTTATAATCCTAATTAGTTTATTATCATACTTGTATGCATTTTGAAACTAAATAAAATGCAGACGATCTGCTGATACTTATAGTGAATTTATAACAGAACTGTAATATCTAGACATTTTATAGTTTGCCAATGTGAATCATAATTCGCACACACGCCCTAGTGTATGTCTCATTACACTTCACGGCGAAAACAACGATTCTGTTGAATGCTACGACAAATGAATAAAAACAAAATGCAAATGTTAAAATTAAAACAGATTAAAGTTATAGGAACAATATCAGGCCATTACCTTGTTCGAGGAATGTATCCATCAATATCCACAAAACTGTTCCAAATGATGTGTCTTTTAACAGTTTAATATAAGAAAAAGTGATAAATCTTTTCAGGTATTGGTGTATAGTCTCATTGGTCACCCAAGATAGCACACCTGGCAACTAATTGCATAATGTCCGCCTTTCTTTAAAAACAGTAATTTAGTTAGCCAATAATGAGCAATCAATCAATGTATTGCCGGTTAATCCTTTGAAAGAAGGACGTTGTTTTACGCGAGACACCGACACGACAGAGTGTATTCAGTATAGATTAGTAAATCTACATACATAAACACTACCTTTTGACAATTCCGCTGTGTAAGATAAAAGTAATTAATCAATCAGCATGTTATCGGTTAATCCTTTGATCGATGTTTATAATGTTGAATATTTACTCCAGACACAAGAAATGCCAAATGGGAACCTTTGTCGGGTAATCTAAGTGTGTTACCACTAATTATACCTGTTATAAATTCATTAACTGACCATCAAGTGAATGATGACAAATAACATGTGTAGGTTTATACCACCTAACACGGGTTACAACAATGGAGTATTAATTGCTGTATTGCATGTGAAAACTTATGGGCCGACACTGTTTTGAGAATACAAACAGATTTTTACATGACATGATTAAATATCGAGGCAAAAAAACACAGAAATGGGATCAATTTGGATCAGTCATTAAACAAATAGGGCCTAACGACACCAATCGATTTTGACAGAAGCGTCTATGAAAACAAGTTGTAGCTCGAAACTAGGCAAAGCAGGAGACAAAAATTAAATGACAGTAGATTGTGAGAACATATAGCTTTCATTTTCCACAACAATTGTCACGATTTCAGGTTTATACAAGCCTGTAAACAAGATAATTTAACCCCTAAAATGTAGATGAATTCTGCATCGGCCCTCAAAGCTATTCCTCATATGACGTCACAGAGACGCGCCGCTCTGATTGGTTGAAATTTCGTTCGCGGGTGAGAATTGTGCACTGTTGTCAAAAAGGTCGATTTAAGTCAATTAAAGATCGAAATGAGTATTTTTAATGACGGGGTTTCATTTATAACGATGCCAGTTAGTGATTTATGTATTTGTACCCCCTAGGGTTTATGTGACCTTTAAGAAATACAGTTCGCTCTACCACCATGCGTCCTCGTACTTTAACTATAATAGTTCAGGGCAAAAGTGTGCTTTATTACACTATACATGGTGGCAGAGCAAACTGTATTTCTTTTCTAAGATGCCAAATGTAATACTTTCTAAGGATAATTACGATTAATTTAAGGCAGGAAACAAACGATGGTGTCGATGACCTAAATTAAGAATGCTCGCACAGGGCTAACTGGCGCGCTGTTCTATTGATATGTCTGACGTTAAGACGAACGTTACCAGAAAAATACAAATGATAACAGTTTGATGACGTTTTACGTTCGGATTAAATATCTTCTCTGAATTATTTTGATTACATCTGTCATTAACGTAAACCATATGGGGCAATATGAACGTCACATTTCTACTACCAACATAAGTTTATATCAGTATATCGAGACGAAAAGCTGAGTAGTCAAGCGACATTGTGGGAATGTAAACATTGCGAACGTTACCGTGTCGCTGAAAACTTGTGAGTCGAATTGACACATTTTAACCATCGTAAAACATAAACGTAATGTTTCCACCAGTGTTGTTTGCTGCGTGAAGCAACTGCAAACCAAGAAACATGATGCAACGGAGTAGTTTACTGTAGGAGACCGTATGAGGCGATGACAACTGACATGCATAGTGACGTAGCTTACATTGTGACGTAATGTAAATGGTTCGATTACGAGGGAGTAGACTAGAATGGCGCAGTGACAGGATAACATCATTCAAGTGGTACATCATCAAAAAACTATACCTTTATTGTCTGATAATGTTTTTTTTTTTTCGATTGTTCAAAACGCTAGGCATCTTAGAACTGTGTATACAGTACACGTAATGAACACTAAGAACACATTTCAGTTTTTAATTGATCTGTTTATTGTAGGCTTAAAAGCGGAAAGAGTTCCTTCCGTTCCCCCCAACCCTAAACCTAACCCTAAACCTAACCCTAACTTAAATATTGGACTTTTAGTCATTTTGTGAGTTCTCTGATAATTGTTGTGTTAAGTTTTGTTAATAATTTTAGTATATTTATAAACATTATTTGGGAGGGGGGGAAAGGGAGGAACTCTTACCTTAAAAGCTTTCACAGTATTTTTCTATCCCAAATTTATGCCTACTTTACCATGATCAAGTGTTCTGAAAAATCATCAAGTAAGGTTTACCTTGTATAATGTTAAAAGTTAAACTAGCTTGTTCATAGATCACGCTAGATTTATAAACCACAAGAGTTGAACTAAAAAGCCAAATGATTGCCCAATATTTTGAACAATGCATTCCTGTTGACACAAAGCTAACGTAATAATGTCACACAGACGTCTGATTGATAGTATAATTTTATCCTCATCTTTATTAATGTTATCCACATGAGATATGGTTTTACTAGTTTCTGCAAAATGCAGATTTTGCACTGTTCATTCTTATATTGTTAGAACTAGTCTTCAGCATTCCATGATTTTCATAAGATGCGACTAATGGGATCAGGTGGTCATGCTTGCTTACTTGGTTGACATGTCATTGTATCGAAAATTGTGTAGATCACTAGACTGTCTGGTCCAGACTCAATTATTTACACTCCGTCGCCATATAGCTGGGATATTGCTGAGGTAGTTGTTAAACGACAAACACACTAACAAACAAATAAACCTTATATTGTTGCGGGCCTGGGGTTTACCCTCTATGTCAGTGAGAATAAAGGCTGCGGGTGTGAGGTCAACTCGTTTATTCTGAGGATTCAGTGGATATCAGTTGATATCAGTAGACACTCTGTAACAATAGTGTTATCATAAGTACAATTTCTTTGATGGGTTAAAATACAAGCATACATATTACATCACGCTATATTACATAACATCAATAAGCATATGTTTATAGGTGCATTACTATCTGTAATAATGCATACATCATATGCTCATACCATTAGAAGTGCACATACAAATATATGTTTCTTACAAATGTGTTTACCAAATTATGATATATCATCATGTCATCAAGTACATGATACAAGACAGTAATACAATATATGAAACAATAAGCAAATACATCACTTATGCATAAATAACGAAATAGATTATAACCTGCGTACCCTGCCGGTGACACGGGAGTGTTGTTGCCGGCGGTCATCCCTCCTCATACTACAGGACTGTGATACCTGAGCCAAGCAAGACATGAAACACATGATAACACATGAAAATATATACATATGTCACGTGACTGAGAATAGTTCAGACACAACAATTAACTTGTACAATACACATATCTACAAGGTAAGGTTTACTTCATTGTGTGATTTATATAAATATGCATAATCCAATCACACTTATAATACAAAGTTATATATGAAATCATCACTCATACACACATTCTTGCATAAGAGTATTCATTCAGTTGTTAATTACACTATCAAATACTGTACTGAAAATGTTTACTTATGATACTTATTTTATTTATGTCATTTATTCATTAATAAAAGCATATAGCAATACTGTACTATAATTACTAACCTTAGAAGTAGATTATTGGTTATCTTGAATTGCTGTGCACATCAAGTACTGGTGACAAGTGCTGAGCACAAGGTGAGGGTGACAAGTGCTGTGTGAGTGAAAATGGCTGATGACCTATGATTTGAAATAAGCCAATCCCAATCAACCAGGTGATCATTACAAATCACATACCTGACAGAAAGATAGAATAACCTAACTATGACCTTGTAATGGAATGATCCAAAGCAATCAGAGACCTGCATTAAGCACTTAAAACACTATTTGCCGACAACTGCTCATTGTGAACACAATGAACCTCTGTTGAACCCAAAACAACACAGATGTATATACATTTTGATAAAAATAACGCAACACATGAAGTTAATATAAATGCTTTTCTTTCACCCTATTACAATATCTTATAGGCTTCAAGGGTTGTTGAAGTCTGGAGCACTGAGTCAGGTGGACTGCCCAATATGGAAGTCGGTGTATGAAGCTTTCCCCCCTCAGACGGAACCAATGCATGAGAGAGAGATTCCAGACCAGAAAGTCAGGCCTATTCTCTACCCAGAAGACTTTGTGCGAGTGTAAGTGTAGAAACTCTCCTTGATATTACCCAGAAGGTTGAAAAATCCAATGTATAAACTTGCTCATAGTAGCTATCCCTCTGGTCTTGTTACACTACAAGTCTCCATCACCAGTAAATACATATTATGACTGATTTGGGATGTAGTTGTGATTTATGTATATTTCCGAAAATCAAATTTGCCCTTTTGATTCCTGAACCTACCAATGCCTAGTACTGAAGTCTAACGTAGATAACTGTAGGGGTGTGACATATGTTGTACGAGATTGCTAATACCGTTTTCTGACATCATATGTAGGGATGCCACTATACATTGATGCATCGGTACTTTGTCTTAGATGATACAATTATTGATACATTCAAAACTGTATCGCTATTTAGTTTTGAAAGTTTCGGTTTAAATATGGTTTTGTGTTGTTTACACTTTGCAATTGTATCATGTTTTTTGATGTTATGACAGTTATAAATGATTATTTTTCATGCACAAAGATGGGAAATTAGAACTTTTTAATCTCTGAGAATAAAAGATGTTGATCTTTTCATGGACAAATATAAAATATGAAATATTAATGTTCAAAATGTAACTAAATTTATGCAATAATGTCGCGAAAATAGGTGTCGAGAAATGTATTGATTCATGAAACTTATGTATTGTGACATCCCTAATCATTTGACAACTCACTGGACAGAGCTATTTCCCTCTTGCTGAAAATGGTCTGTGTCTAGATTAATTGAATAAAAACAGTGAGGCAGCTTTGTGTATTCACAATAATGGAAGAATGTAGTGACTACACCCCTGTGAAGTATTGACAATGTGACTCCTGATGTCTGCAGCGGGACATTTGCTGTTTAATCTTCTTGTCTTTACCATATTCAAGGCCATTTAAAGCGACAATGTCATTTCCTTTAGCTGTTCAGTTCAGTGTTGTGATACTGCATCTATCTCAGTGTATAGAGTGTCAACCTGTTTTGGGGAAAGTCCATGGTCTAATCCCAATCCTCCTCCTACCAATGGGTGAAGCCCATTTATGGTGTTCCCCCGCCGTGATATTACTGGAATATTGCTAAAAGTGACGTAAAACTAAACTCACTCACTCCTACCAATGGACATTAACAGATGGTACTTGTTATTACCCTGCAACTTGGCATTATTGGGATCAAACCAGACCTGGTTAGCAGGGAGTCATTACATGTCTGAGTTAGGTATCCATGTTAAACTGTGGTTTGGTATCATAGTGGGCTAGCACTATAGAAGGGGTATTGAAGTTTACTAGTAGATGTAGCTACACATAAGAGCATGCATGTCACTGATGTTGATTGTGTTTTTAAACCTCATTTATCTCAACTCAACCCGTGAAGGTCCGGGTTAGAATGAGCCCTCGGTAACCCATGCTTGTCGTAAGAGGCGACTAACGGGACCAGGTGGTCAGGCTCTCTGACTTAGTTGACACATGTCATCGGTTCCCATTTGCGCAGATTGATGCTCATGCTGTTGATCACTGGATTGTCTGGTTCAGACTTGATTATTTACAGACAGCCACCATATAGCTGGAATATTGCAGAGTGCGGCATAAAACTAAACTCACTCACTCACTATCTCAACTCATTGATGGGGCTAAAGGGCTTACTTGTCCTGTTGAGATCCCGGGTTCGATTCCCCTCATGGATACTCTGTGTGAAGCTCATTTCTGGTGTTTCTCACAGTGATATTGCTGGAATATTGCTAAAAGCGCCTTGAAACAATATTCACTGACAAGATGGCCCAGCTGCCGTGGCCTTCTCTGGTGTGATGACATTTCTGTTTTGCTATATTTTGTTTCTTAAAATGACCAGTAGGAATACATTAAATAACTCGACTGCAAATCAAGTGAATGAAGGTGCTCTTAAGTTGCTTGTTGTTCGTTGGTTATTCTCGCATCATCTCTGATAAACATCATCAGGCCATGTAGTCACGCACCTACTGAAACACTGTTTGCCATAGTGCACAACCCCAGCGCTCCAGATCATTTTTCAACATTAGGAGTATGTACTCCTTATTTTTTTAATGTAGGAGTACTGGAAAAACGTTTTAGAGTACTGAATGGAATTTAATGGCTAGGTGAGGTGAGGTAAAATTGGGTTTTACGTCGTGCTCGAGAATATTTCGCTCATATGACGACGTGTATGCGTGTGTATGTGTATGTGCGGCTGCTTGTATTAGCCCAGACTTAAGCAGGTTTTATAGTGCTAGCCCACTGAGATACCATGCCCGCAGTGAAGCATGAATGCCCCACTCAGACACATTATACTGACTCCGAGCCGACCAGTCCTTGTTGTACCCATTAATGCCGAGCGCCAGGCAGGGACCAACAAGTACCATATTTTAACGTCTTTTGGTATGACGCGGTCGGGGATCGAACCCGCGACCTTCCGCTCTCCGGGCGGACGCTCTAACCACTACACCACGGAGGCGGTCGAATTTAATGGAGTACCAGTAATCTTGTGTTTCGTTATGCACCACAACATTGCTTCTCAGTACTCTTGTGTAAACAGGTAGAAAAACATTAAAACAAAACTTTTTCAGATAAATACGTCTGTAAATGATTCTAAGACAGTACACCATTGCTGTGGTGCATATCTGCTACGTTTTCTAAATTATTTCCTACCGTATCGTGCATATATTGTATCCGTACATACGCCGATACGGCCCTTATCTGGAGCCCTGCAACCCAACTCACTTATCCATGTAACTTGACCCTGAACATGCTTAAAACTGAGTAAAGGTTAAATTTACACACTGTTGTCTCAGATCACAAAATCAGAACATTGTGAGTGTTGTATTTATTATGATAATCACCATGGATACTGTTGTGTAGGTTTACCCCTCCAATCCAATCCAATCCTGAGTTGCCGCTGTTACAGGTCATTGGCTCCCTCCCTCTGCAAGCAGTCTGCGTTCTGCTGTTTATTTTGTTGACAGTTACATAGACAGATTCTTTAATACAAATGCATAAAATCGGTGATTTCCAATGTGATTGGGGTGGCTGACAAAACATCCACTTGCACAGTTTGAGATCGATTGGGTCATTGGATGAAGAGATATTTACAGAAAACTGGGTCCACATGCATTTCATGCCAAACTATAATAGAAATAGATTCTTGAAAATAGTTTTACCTGTGTTTGAAACATTCTTTTCAAGTAAGTGGTTAACCATATTGTTACAAATGTATTTCACATTTGTTGCCTATGAGATTCTACTATTCAATAAGAATTCTAAGCAAATGTCACCAGACTACTGAGGCTTTACTTTGAATGGCAAAAGAGGTTTTACAGGGTAAGAATTTTAATCAGGTGTTTTGGAATTAATTCATTATTTGATGCCTTGACAGGAATGGGTAATTATGGAGACTGTTTACTGTTTCAGAAGGTACTACAATACGTTTGGTAACACAGACGTTGTGGATCTGAGCAATGAGTCTGTGAAGACAACATGTCAGAAGTAAGTCTGTGCATATGTGTGGAAATCCTGGAATAGATTTCAGGGTTTGTCTAATTTGGAAGTTCCTGCGACCAGGTGTTAATTATTGTTAGGTTTGTTTTTCATGAAATATGTAGAATGTTAGCTATGCAGTGAAATATTTGATTTCCAACACCAAACTGGTTGTTTGGAGCTGTTTTTTGCCAACTGTAGAACAGGCTAGCTATTCTCAAAACGTAATTCCTACGAAGTTTTTAAGCCCATTCTTAACACATTGTCTACGATCAAAGTTAAGAATTCTTAGGGCTACGGACGTTTTGAGAATAAGGGCCCTGGAGTCTAGTTAACATGGCCACAGGTATTCCATTTTGGTGATTGAATGAATGATTTGAGCAGATCTGGCTGTGTGCCATACCTTCATGTTGTTGATGCTCACAATATCAATCACGTTGTTTGTCTCCCCCCATTTCCTGTTGTTGCTGCCTGCAGTGTGTATCCATGGTAACCGTCACACGTTTGTCATTTCTGCCATAGATTTGTGGAGAAATACTTCGACCTACAGCAGAAGGGTGTCCACCCGGACGATTTGTTTGACAAGACGACAGAGATCTTGAAGGCCGAAAATGCACGGCTTCGTTCAACAGATGAAATGCCACAGGTAAGTTGGCTTGCATTCATATAGTGCTGTTTACCATCTTTCCTTGATTTGATGTTAGTGAATTTTTTTCATTTCAGTATGAATTGATTCAGTTATGAGACACCTGAACCCTTCTACATTTTGATGTTGCCTGCTCATATCTGAAACCTGTCAGCATTCATCAGTTTTCCACCAATCTTGATGCATCGGCAGTAAATGCTGCATTTGCTGTTGTGCTAAAATTGTATGTTATGACTCAAGAGCATTTACCTCCTCCTGTATCAGGGGCGGTGGGGTAGCTTAGTGGTTTAAGCGTTCGTTTGTCATACCGAAGACCTGAGTTCGATTCCCCTCAGGGTACAATGTTTGAAGCCCGTTTCTGGTGTCCCCCACATTGATATTGCTGGAATATTGCTAAAAGCGGCATAAAACTAAACTCACTCACACCCAGCCCTCCTGTATCCACTGATGTGAATGTAAAATAACAGATTTTGTTCTTTAACATTTAACATGTTATGTAGAACCAGCAGGTATTACTACTTAGTAGTAGTGTAACAATGCAGCAATACAGTGCGGTATCACGTTATGAAACTCCCTATACACTAGATGATATAAAACTCCTGTACTGCGGTTGTGAGTGAGTGAGTGAGTGAGTTTAGTTTTACACCATTATTAGCAATATTCCTGCAATGCCATGGGGACACCAGGAATTGGCTTTACACATTACACCCATGTGGGGAATCGAACACGTGTCTTTGGTGTGACGAGTGAACACTTTAACCACTAGGCTACCCCTCCGCCCCTTTATTGCAGTACATACTACTGTGAAGATCCGAGTTAGAATTTGTCTTCAGCAACCTCTAATTGTGATAAGAGTGACTAACAGGAACGGGTGGTTGACACATGTCATTGTATCCCAGTTGTGCTGATGGATGCTTATGAATATGATCACTGGATTGTCTGGTCCAGACGTGATTACAGCCTGTTGCTATGTAGCTGGGACATTTCTGAGTGCTGCATTTAACAACAAACAAAGATACATACAAATTTTTCCTTATCCTGACTCATGCTCTTTTGCTTGTCTTCTTCTTCTTGCGAACATAGTGGAACACTTGTATCTCCTTATTTGAAGCTCCCTTCAAAATAAAATCACTAATTGGTACTCACCACGAGTTGCTCCCCTTTGTTTCCCCTGGCGGGAAAGGTGTCGCCACCCTCTGGCCATGTGCTCCACTCTCTCCTTCGCCCAGTGAGCAGGATGTGAGAGCGCCTCGTGTCTCCTTACACACCATATCCTTTGATAATCTCTTAGTTTTTACCTCTCATAGGTTACTATAGAGGTATAGCTAGTATCCTTTACTATTTGTATTGATTAATTATCGTATTTCTACTGTTTATTCACGTGTATTCGTGGATTGTTCAGCTAGTTTTACATTGATGAAAATCTGCACGATTTGTAGATTACGCTTTTCTGCCTCCGATCCACATGTAATATGCCCTAGTTGTTCTATGTAATTGAGCGTTTAATTCACGTTGCAGTTACTGCATTAATTTATCTCATTCTGCATTTAATAAATATCATCTTTATGCTGCCTTAAGACGCATGCAGATAGATCACGCAAAACAAGGGCAAAACATGGCAGAGAGTCCAGATATTCCATCCAGTCAGCTGCTAGCGATCGACCCTCTCCTCGCCTGGTGTTCTGCTAGAGACCCTTCGGTGAGGAACGGGACGCAGTCCGTTACCTCGAAGAAACGACCGCCTCTCCAGACATCCCGCCATTGCAGACCAAGTCTAAGAGGGCTCTCATCGCCGCCTCAACGCAGATTGAGGACACCCAGGGCAGCGCGAGACTTCCAAAGGGAAATCTCGAAGACAGCAAGAACTTTCTCAGCCGAGATCGCTCCAGCAGCAGAATTGGGCTCTCACGATGATCAGCCGATAATCATCCCCCAACTTACGGCAGAAGAAGCGACCGGTGTCAGCTTTACTGTGACTTCTGCAGAGATCACCATGCAGCCTGATGCCTCTACACACCCATCGCCAGACGCCATTGATGTGAACCCATCGCAGAAAGACGCCCGACGACTTCGTCACAGATCATCCCAGAAGACATGATGCGGCAGATTATGAACATCATGGAGGACCACTACAAACTGCTAAGCAGGGTCCGAAGCCGCTGGGCTCCAACGTAGACAGCACCCCAGAGGCACCCCCGCAACGGTAGCAGCCAAGACGATGTCACCTTCGCTGGAAGTCCCGCACCACCTTGACGAAGGACCTAGATGTACAGCCTTCACAAGGCCTTCCGGCATGGAGATCATCACCATCTTCGATTTCATCTCTAGATATGGACTCAGACCATCAGACATCACGGAGGCCTTCGCTAAGGTCATATCATCGATCCCCGACCGGACGCGAATGAAGCTTCAAGGCATTCGCTAAGGACATATGATTCCAGATCCTCATCATCTAGAAGAACATCGAGGGACTATCAAGAGCTTCGCGGGGTTATCAACATTCACCTCACAAGTCTCCGAGAAGATCATCCCATAGACGATCTCCACTTCGCTCATCACCAGGTCGATCACCGGGTCAGATCTCCACATAGAGCGGCACACAAGTCAACTCAGATCGCCACAAACCTCATCAGATATACAGACAGCTACACGCAGTCCCGGCGAGCATCTACAATTTGTTAATGATGATGGTTTTGAGGATGATGGAGGAATCATATTTTCTGATGCAGAGATACGGTATTGGATGGTCAATAACCTAGATCTCACATCACCATCTAAAAGTGGCAATACAGGAAAATGCAGACGATTTGATGAAGGAAGATGATCCAGATGCAATCACTCTACCCCGATCGACCAATTATTGCGAAAGTGCCACAGAATCTAGATGCAAGCTTTCCAGAAAGCTACGAAAGTTCAGACACCACATCTGCCCAACTTTCAAGCCAAGAAGTTCTCCACGCATAACATGGACTCCTTCTACAAGGCCCAGGACATCGATGAGAACTATAAGATCATCAGCGATGTAAAGAACAAGATTTACAAGATGGATGATCGCAGTTGGCTCATATAGAAACCATGACGAGACGTATGTTCTTTGGGTTAAATAGATCTAGGACGATCAATGAGACTCTTATTACTAGATTCCGGGATTCCACGACGGAAGATGATAGAATGATTTATTCTGCCTTACTTATGCAAAAGAAAGATCAGCAGTTTTTAACGGATCATCTTACATCTGTTTCAGCAGCACTGACCTTAGCTCGTCGTCAAGGCCTCCTCGCCTCCTGTAATTGGGGGGAGAACTTTACAGCCCCACTTTATACAGCCCCGTGGTCGACAACATCCATCTTTGACGGAGAAATCGACAAAGTCGCCAAGGAAGTCTCTAAGGATTCCAGGGAAGTCCTTATGATTAGATCGATGGACACACTAGCCAGCGTCATTCGTCAGACTTCACAAAGATACTCAGGCAGATCTAAGTTCACGGGCCTACAAAGAGCAAGAGACAGGAAGATAGCCAGCTCTAGAGGTAAAGATTCTTTTAAAATCAGCCTATATGGCAACTATAGAGGAGGATCAGGAAGAGGCAGGACACCCAGAGGTTCCCCGCAATTATAGACGCTGAAACACAGGTTCGAATCCACTGGAGTCTTCCACCCCCAGCCGTTCCAGTACAGCCAGCTCAAGTGGGTGGGCCTCCAACCACTGGGAAAACTGGGAATATTGCAAGACCCTTACGCCTCCAACATTCTTCAACACGGATTTCAGATCCCTCTACAGGCCAAGCCTCCGCTGACAATCAAACCCCCAAGTTGATTTACAAGCAGCAACTACCAAAGATAAGAGAGGCTGTTTCATCACTCCTATCCAAACAGGCCATAGAAGTAATAGATCAAGCAAACGCGTCGAACCAGGTTTCTACTCCCCAGTTTTCCTAGTTCCCAAGAAAACTCCACGGAGAAATACAGACTCATCTACAACATGAGCTTTTCAACAAGAACTATCTCGCAAACCACCCTAAGTTTCATGATGATACATTTACCTCAGTTACGCCAGATGATTAGATCCTATGGACTACATGGGCAGCATAGATCTACAGGATGCCTACCTACATCCCCCATTCATCCCGATTCCAGGAAATACCTACGATTTACTCTGAAGGGCTACATTACCAGTGGAAAGTACTCCCATTCAGAATATCATCAGCCCCTGGCTATTCACGCGAGGATAACGAAACCGATTATCAAATTTCTACATCGTCCAAGGGGCTACGCAGTGCGTTTTACCTCGACGACGGGATACAAGTAGATCAAGATCCACTGCGTCTCAAACTACAGTTAAATTACATCATAAAGCTACTAACACAACTAGGTTGGTTAGTAAACTTACACGCAAGTCGGACCTAGTACCATCGCCAAGACCTGCAGTTCCTAGGTATTCGATTCATCACAAATCGCAACCGTATTATGGTACCAGAAGACCGTTATTCAAGATACAGCAGACCATTCCACCAGCTCTACTCTCTCCGTTACCACTCGCGACAATGGCAGAGCCTACTAGGTCTTCTCACATCAGCCCAAGACATGACTGTCACAGGCAGATTACAGTTACGTCCCCTACAGGTCCTCATCAACGCACATCTCAACGATGTACAACCATTCAGTCTACCAAAACATCTCAGACCGCATCTACTATGGTGGACCAAGAAATCGAATGTCTCGCGAAGGGATTTGTTTAGCAGAGCAGGAATACAAAACCCATCTGTATGTAGACGCGTTACTCCAAGGTTGGGGAGCTCATCTCACCAACCACACGATATCAGGATTATGGAATCAGCAAGAATGCAAACTCCATATAAACAGTCTAGAAATGAAAGCTGTAATCAGCGCCATTCTACATTGGAGCACATTTCTACAAAATGCGGCTAATGATCCATACAGACAATTCGACAGTGGCCTTCTACATAAACAAGCAAGGCTCAACGAGATCGATGAACCTTTTGAACCTAAGCTTTCAACTGTTCGATTTAATACAAGATCTAAATCTACATGTCAGAGCAGTGCACATTCCCGAGCCAGAAATATACTAGCAGGCGCTCTCTCGGCCTCATCTACCATCACCGACAGAGTGGATGATCAACAGGAAATTTTGCACAGATAATCAAGCAATTAGGAGCGCCACTAATAGACCTATTCGCCAGCGATTCAACAATCAGCTACCGACATTCGTGTCACCAGTCCCAGACCCCCAAGCTTGGGCAGCGGACGCTCTAAGTCTATCATGGGAAGGCCTCAATGCGTGCACGCTGTTTCCGCCGGCCAGCAATAATACCTCAAGTATTACAGAAAATCAGACAAACACAGAGCCTACAACTCACTTTGGTCGCTACCTACTGGCTGGCCAGAGCGTGGTTTCCCATACTAATTCAAGAAATCGGTCAACCAACACTGGAGCTACCCAAGCGCCGCCAAACCTGTTAATTCATCCTCACACCAAACAAGTGCACGAAAACCCAGCAATGTTCCAACTACACGTATGGACTGTATACAAATGTGTTTAAACAAGAGAGATATTCTGCCAGGGCGGCAAAAGCAGTCACGCTTTGTTTTACGTTACTCAACTCAGAATTTGTAATGACGGCGACAAGTGGCACAGTTTCGAAAATTATGCAACAAAGAAAGGGTTTACAGCAAGAGAGGCTTCACAACCTCAAGTGGCAGACTATTTGTGTTACCTCGTAGCCAAAACAAACATTTAAAAGGTTCAACGATATCAACATATCTTGCCACAAGCTTTTAGTTCTGTAATCACCATGAGAACGGGTGTCAAATTGACAAGATCTCCAGAGTTACTGGCCTTACTACGAAGCCCGATTGGAGGACCAAAAGCGGAAGTTCCACGCCCCCAGCTTGGGATCTGAATGTAGTGTTACAACACCTCACGAAGTGAGGTCTATGAACCTTTGGAATCGACAAACTTTGAATTTCTCTCACAGAAAACACTGTTTCTGCTATCGCTAGCCACAGCAGCAAGAATGTCTGAAATTCACGCTCTGGATTCACGAGAGGATACAGTTTGATGACAATCATAACACAGCGCACCTCGGATTAAGATGGGATTTCATCGCGAAAAAATCAACTGCCAGGTCAACCAGACAGATTATTCCACATCCCGGCTATCCTCTATTCTCGGATCACAAGATACACAAGACCTATCACTGTGTCCGTAAGAGCTCAAAGTTTATTTTACTTACGACGATCCAAAACAAGGAGAAGATTTCTCAAACGCTTATTCATCCCCTTATCGCCACTTACGAATCAAACAGAAGTGTCACGGACCACAATATCTATTTGGATAAGGACTGTCATTCTCCGTGCCTACAAGGCAGCAGGCTTGGACCCACCAACAGCATCAAATCCACATGAGATCAGGGCACTGGCCTCTACCCTCGCCCTACACGGTAACTGTTCCTTGAACACGATTATGGAAGGATGCTATTGAAATCTAACATGGTATTTGCTAATCACTACCTGAGAGACATCACTACAGAAGATGTCTCTGGCATTCACCATTTCGACCACTGGTCCCTCGCCAGCAACTGACAGTCCCTGCGTGAGGCGTTAAAATATTATCCTCACAAGATTAATATGTATTTTATACATACTCATCTAGCTTATAACTCTCACGGAGTTTTAGGGCTATGTATATATGTTCAGCTTAAGTATTCAACCTTAAGCATATACTTTGGTATAGTCAATTTCAGTGCCTCTATCAGAGTCACCTATATATATATATATAATTTATATGTATTGTTCAATATATTCATAATGTAATTCCCTTTAATGGCTTTTATATAACCTATGGTTTTCTTTATACAGGAAACATCCTAAATCTAAGCCTTCATGAAGTTCCCGTGAGGGGATATTACAGTATATCTATACAAAATCACTAATTATAAATCCAAAGTATTCTGTTACCCACCTCCGTCCTGTGAGGATGCTACAAGCAAAAGAGCATGAGTCAGGATAAGGAAAAATATGTAATTTTAGAGTAAAATTGATATTTTATACTTATCCTGACTCATGAGGTTAGCCCTCCCATCCTCCCCACATAACACTTTGGATTTCCCTGTAAGTTCAAGTGTTGGGCTCGCTAAATCAGGAGAGAGTGGAGCACATGGCCAGAGGGTGGCGACACCTTTCCCGCCAGGGGAAACAAAGGGGAGCAACTCGTGGTGAGTACCAATTAGTGATTTTATTTTGAAGGGAGCTTCAAATAAGGAGATACAAGTGTTCCACTATGTTCGCAAGAAGAAGAAGACAAGCAAAAGAGCATGAGTCAGGATAAGTATAAAATATCAATTTTACTCTAAAAATTACATTTTGTTACATTACACGTTATACTGATATATAAACTCGTGAATAATATAGTTTGGATATTGCTGAGAGGGGGTTAAAGAAACAAACAAACAAAGATACATACAATTTGTTACATTACACGTTATACTGATATGTAAACTTGTGAATAATATAGTTTGGATATTGCTGAGTGGGGGTTAAAGAAACAAACAAACAAAGATACATGCAATTTGTTACATTACACGTTATACTGATATGTAAACTTGTGAATAATATAGTTTGGATATTGCTGAGTGGGGGTTAAAGAAACAAACAAACAAATCATATGTGTTTCTTCTGCAGTCAATCTCAAACATGGAGTCAAGCAAGGACGATGGAGAGAAGTTGTAACCGGTAGCAACAAGATGGGACAAGCAATCAAACCTGTGTGAACTTATGTACTGAATGAGGCTTACCAGCATTGTCAACTCAGATACTAGTATCAAGAGAACCTCCTTTATCAAGACATATACATACAGGAGATCATCATTGGGAGCCACCCAGTATGTTAATGTGAAAACAGGGATCATGGACATTGTAAGGTTGTCAGTAAAACCTCATAGTATTCTCAGTGTGTTTAAATCCTCCCAGCTGTGGGACAGGCATGAAGCCACTTGGAATGGTACAATGATACACTGGACCACTTTGTACCATGATACAAGGTCTGACTTTTGAAATTTGCATTGTTTGTAGTTTAATCCTGTTTTTAATCCTACTGTGAAACAAATGTGCTCATCTAATTTGTGTAAATGTTAATACATTGTATTAAGTTTTGTTTTGTAATAGTGAAATTGATCATGTTCTACAGTAACACAGTGCTCTTTGTGATGCTTGAACATCAATAGGCGTAGGGAAAACATTGCTCTGTAGACAAGGCCACTATTGTATACGGCATTAGAATGAGTGGGCATGTTTAAAAGTGTATGATGTGTGTGTGAGAAAATAAAAAACATCAAATCTTCAAAACAAATTTCTGTTCAGAGATGAAATACACAATGCCATTTTAGAAAGTGGTCAAATGTAACGTATGTTATATTTGGGAGTACACATTCTTAGTAAAGTACAGATTCTCGTACTTTTTGAGTTGAGTCCCATCCGGGATTGGAACCCACACCCTCAGAGTCAGGCACCTAATCGCCAGCACACAAAGTCAGACGCCTAGACCTAGACCGCTCTGCCACCGCGGGTTCCACAAAAATGGAAGTCGGACAACTGGTAGTCTAGACTGCGGACTTTGTGTACCCCTCTGATAAGTGTTACTAAGAAAGTGTAATCCCAAATATAACATACATTTGCTACATCTGGGCACTTTCTAAAATGGCCCTTTATTTCATAGCTGTCAGTCGGCTGACTTTGTGTGCTGGCGATTAGGTGCCAGCCTCTGAGGGTGTGAGTTCGAATCCCGGATGGGACTCAACCCAAAAAGTACTAGAATCTGTACTTAACTAAGAAAGTGTAATCCCAAATATAACATACATTACATGTTAAGAGATGGTTTACCTCCAGTTCATGAGACCCAGGAACATCCAGTTTAGGACTGTTTTCAATTCTTTCCTCATGTTGTTACGTAGTGTGACTTTACATAGCAACAAGACCCAGTTCATTCATATATACACAAATCAATCATAAACACAAAATCTCACTCAAAAGCAATTTTATATATAAACGTTAATATTTTTAGCATTACAATAATATTTATAAATATATATACACATGCTATAACAACATTATTTACGATTTGTAATGTGATTTAACAATCTTATTTACAGTTAAAAACGTGCTAGAACTATGTTATTTATGATTAATAGGGACGGTGGCAGAGCCTATTCGTTAAAGCATTTGCTCATCACTCCGAAGACCCAGGTTCGATTCCCCACATGGGTACAGTGTGGGCCACTTCTGGTGTCCCCGCCATGATATTGCTGGAATATTGGAGGCCACTTCTGGATTTATAATGCTTTACCATGATATTGTTTAAAACATGCTGAATAATATTTACTTTAACACATGCTGTAAGTATAATGTTTACAGTTTAACACATGCTGTAAGTATAATATTTACAGTTTAACAATGCTCTAAGTATAATGTCTACAGTTTAACACAGTTTAACACATACTGTAGTAAGTATAATTTACAGTTTAACACATGCTGTGCTATTTTACAGTTTAACACATGCCAATAAGATTTACAGCTTAACACATTAACACATGCCATAAGTATAATATTTACAGTTTAACACATGCTGTAAGTATAATATTTACAGTTTAACACATGCTAATGTTAACAGTAAGTATAATATTTACAGTTTAACACATGCTGTAAGTATAATTTTACAGTTTAACACATGCTGTAAGTATAATATTACAGCTTAACTAAGTATAATATTTACAGTTTAACACATGCTGTAAGTATAATATTTACAGTTTAACACATGCTGTAAGTATAATATTTACAGTTTAACACATGCTGTAAGTATAATATTTACAGTTTAACACATGCTGTAAGTATAATATTTACAGTTTAACACATGCTCTAAGTATAATATTTACAGTTTAACACATGCTGTAAGTATAATATTTACAGTTTAACACCTGCTGTAAGTATAATATTTACAGTTTAACACATGCTGTAAGTATAATATTTACAGTTTAACACATGCTGTAAGTATAATATTTACAGTTTAACACATGCTCTAAGTATAATATTTACAGTTTAACACATGCTGTAAGTATAATATTTACAGTTTAACACCTGCTGTAAGTATAATATTTACAGTTTAACACATGCTGTAAGTATAATATTTACAGTTTAACACATGCTGTAAGTATAATATTTACAGTTTAACACATGCTGTAAGTATAATATTTACAGTTTAACACATGCTGTAAGTATAATATTTACAGTTTAACACATGCAAAATATTTACAGTAATGTAATATTACAGTTTAACACATTGTAAGTGCTTAACACATGCTGTAAGTATAATATTTACAGCATACTGTAAGTTACAACAGTTTACTGTAAATGTTTACAGCTTAATGATTTACAGTTTAACACATGCTGTAAGTATAATATTTACATCCTCATCGGCTGTAACCCCAAACTTGAAATATTTCAACTAAATTGAAAAATGACCCCTACCAACCCATTTAATCTCCTTGTTCACTGACATATGTGTGGCCAGCTGCCATCTAAGTGACATCGACGACAAAAGTTCTTTGATGTTCAAAAGTTCCAGTGGATAAGCAACATGTTATTGATTGGGAATACCTCTCAACTCATTTGGCTTGAGACTTGCACTTTCATGTCATGTCACCCTCTCACGACAACTATCAGCCAAATTGGGTTTATACACATTTAGACCACTTTGAAAATAGGTCTGAATACATCGTTTTTGGTGACTTTTCTGAGAACGGAATTTGCAATTATGCCATAGCTTCATAGGGGTACTTGCACCCTTGGACCCCGGCATGTCATACTTTGGGGTTGGACGTTCGGAAAATGAACATATGGTTCCAAATTGTTATCGACTGTTGATTGGTGGAGGAGCAGCACAATGCTGCCGTCGTTCTGTGGTAAATGAAGGACAGTTGGATCAATCGTCCACCATGAACGGAGGATGCTCAGTGTCGCGTCACGTCAGTACATGTTCGCGGGTGTGTTGATCGACAACCGGACAAAGCGTCATTCGCACTGAGGAATCCTCGGCCGATGGAGAGAAGGCCTGCGTGCCTTCTTTTTTTCATGAAAACAACGTCACAGATATGAAGGGTTGTTTTGTGAAGAAATTCGTTTCTTCCCATTCTTTTTGTGGAAGGAGGGTTCGAGTATTGGCTTCAATAAATGCCGGTGTTGCATGTTAGACTTTACGGATTGATGGTTGATACCAGTGACGGTGTATGAAATAAGCCAAAAACCCAGCCAGACATCAGGGCTGGTAACTTCAAAATGTTACCAGCCTAAAATGGATTTAACCAGACCATACATCAAGATATGTATGGAACTCCGAACATCTAAAAGTTTAGCTAGCTGTAAATCTAGACCGTCCGTCAGAAATGTAGCCCGTCTCGGGCGGTCGGACGGGCCTTATTTCATACACTTGATACACAAGTACACCAGATGCATCGCATGCTTATTGTACCCGTGATGATCCGGGTTAAAATAGGTCTTCAGCAACACATGCTTGTCGTAGGAGGTGGTCAGGCTCGCTGACATGGTTGAAACATGTCATCGTATCCCAATTGTGTGAATCGATGCTCGTGCTGTTGATCACTGTATTGTCTGGTCCAGACTAGATTATTTACAGGCAGTCGCCATATAGCTGGAATATTGCTGAGTGCGGTGTAAAACTAAACTCACTCACTCACTGGATTGTCTTAGCTGGAATATTGCTGAGTGCGGTGTAAAACTAAACTCACTCACTCACTGGATTGCCTTAGCTGGAATATTGCTGAGTGCGGTGTAAAACTAAACTCACTCACTCTCACTCACTGGATTGTCTTAGCTGGAATATTGCTGAGTGCGGTGTAAAACTAAACTCACTCACTCACTCACTCACTGGATTGTCTTAGCTGGAATATTGCTGAGTGCGGTGTAAAACTAAACTCACTCACTCACTCACTGGATTGTCTTAGCTGGAATATTGCTGAGTGCGGTGTAAAACTAAACTCACTCACTCACTGGATTGTCTTAGCTGGAATATTGCTGAGTGCGGTGTAAAACTAAACTCACTCACTCACTCACTCACTGGATTGTCTTAGCTGGAATATTGCTGAGTGCGGTGTAAGACTAAACTCACTCACTCACTCACTGGATTGTCTTAGCTGGAATATTGCTGAGTGCGGTGTAAGACTAAACTCACTCACTCACTCACTCACTCACTGGATTGTCTTAGCTGGAATATTGCTGAGTGCGGTGTAAGACTAAACTCACTCACTCACTCACTCACTGGATTGTCTTAGCTGGAATATTGCTGAGTGCGGTGTAAGACTAAACTCACTCACTCACTCACTGGATTGTCTTAGCTGGAATATTGCTGAGTGCGGTGTAAGACTAAACTCACTCACTCACTCACTCACTGGATTGTCTTAGCTGGAATATTGCTGAGTGCGGTGTAAGACTAAACTCACTCACTCACTCACTCACTGGATTGTCTTAGCTGGAATATTGCTGAGTGCGGTGTAAGACTAAACTCACTCACTCACTGGATTGTCTTAGCTGGAATATTGCTGAGTGCGGTGTAAGACTAAACTCACTCACTCACTCACTCACTGGATTGTCTTAGCTGGAACATTGCTGAGTGTGGTGTAAAAATACACTCACTCACACTCACCCAATGGTGTAGATCGATACTCATGATGTTGATCACTGGATTGCCTAGCCCATACTTGATTTTTGGCAGACCACGGCCAAATAGCTGGAATATTGCTGATTGCGGCGTTACACAACAAACAAACAAACAAACATGTTTGTATAACCATCTAGATGGTACTGCTCAGTCTTCAGCTAGGAATGTACACATTTTACGCCAGTATCCCAGATTCTGAATGATCTCACCCAGAACATAAGGAGTGGAAGATCTTGATGACTAATTATTCAAGGTGTCGCTATAACAACTAAAGCATTGCGTAAACAATGTAACTGTTTCTGTTTCTTGTAGATTAGGAGCTGTTGACTATGGTTGACTAGTCTCTCGTTATTTCACAGGGTATTCAGTACGAGAAAATTACGAAACGTTTGGTGTTAAATTATTAATCCATTTTCTCTTAGTCCTGGGAATCTTTTCCACATTAGAATTGGCTTGTACGTGTAAATTTGCCCATGGGAATATATACCTTACTATGCATATATGCAAGCTTTGTTACCCATGGAGATATAACAGCTTGGCCAATGCATGCGATGTGCAAACAATTATCGTTTTCATTCAGAACTATTGCCCAGTGAAATGTGCACAATTATCTGCTCAT